CCTGTAATGCTATTTATTTTCAGGCTACTTCTCTGCAATTTTTATACCTACAATATATCAATAGCTCAACCTGACCAGATTTTGCTTCTAATCTGAACCTCCAGGAAGCTTTTTACTTAATAAGAATATTTGCCTCAATTTAAGTAACAATGTTAATAGGCCATAGAGAAAAGGGCACATTATACTTTACGCTTCCCTCTATGACATTGCACAGAGTTGTCCTGGAAGATACAAGATTTGGCATCATAAACTTTCGTTCCTTGATTGTTGGATTTTTGGAATTTGTTTGGTAGGTAAGATGATTTTGTAGCACTATTTATAAAGCGAAGTCTGTATCCCACACCATTTGATTGGCCAGAAACTTTACAGTTTACGTCAAGCAGTCTCTGTTATAGGCCTTGCCTTTTCTTGACCAAGGGCAAGGATTAGAAAATACTGTAAATAGAATGATGTAAACATGGTTTAGACTATACTCTGTCAGTTAAGTTGATATGACATAGTTTGACATGACATCAAAAAACCACCGTGATAGAAAGGAAACAGGCCACATCATTCATTGTCTTTAGGCATATACATTCGGTAATCCAGCAATCGCACTAATCTGGCACCCTTCCGTACAAAGAATGGCAGGATTAGCGAGCATCTACTGTAATAGAAACAGTTTTTGATGATTATGGAAACATTAAGAATAACTTTGTTTTACAGATCTTCGATTGGGACGGAGAATATTTGGACGTAGTGCGGTTTTTGGAACCCATTCGTAGGCCTTCGGATATCACCTTAACTTCCGACGGTTACCTGTACGTTCTTAATTACCTAGACCATTTTCTAGGTATTTATAAATTAGAGATGGACGAAGAATAAGACTACATACAATACACACGTAATATTTGTCATAAATTACATAGAGATATGTTCATTGTGTCCATTGTTTAATGTTTATTTAATATAAAATATATTGTTCCTTTTTCTGTCTGCAAGAAAACAGACAATTTAAATTGTTTCAACATTGTGTTTATTTGAAAAATTCCAATTTGTATTTGTTATATTTGAAGTTTTTAGCGATTTTAAGTGTGCGATTGGCATAATAAAACGCAAAAAGTAATTTAAATACTTTAAAAATGTACGTAAAGTTTCATATATAAATAAATTGTCTGGTTTTAAATTTATTTTTAAAAAATGCTGGAAAAACGCGACAGAAAAATCGAAAAGTTTTCGCCCCTTTATTCAAAATTCGAAAAAAAAACATGCGTAATCAATTGCGCATAAGAAATTTAAACAACTTTTCAAAATTTCGAACGGTAATGTGCGCCATCGAATGCATAACAATGAATTTTTTACTCTGCCTGTGGGCACTACAGGCCTTTTTATCGAGCACATTGTAATAACGTTAGGACGGCCCCCGATGTATACGGGACAGACCGTTTTTCGACTGCCCAGGACCACCTCTACACGCGTATTCCTTAATGCTACCGTTTTGGCAAGAAGGGGGATTAATCGTTAAGTGTCAAACGTTAAAAATGTCACAAAAGTGTAAATATTGTTTTTTTTTTATTTTTTTAAACAACCGTAATCTTAACAGTTTTATTGACTAATGTGATTTATGTATTAAAAAAACCCCGATAAGTTCTTGTATATAGTAGGAAAATGACGTAATATCACGCTTGCCAAAGCTTTGCGTAGCATAGTATGACGTCATATGTGCAGTGTTAACTTCAGACATTTTACTTCTGGAGAATGTTTTGGGGAGAAATATTTTCAGGTCCCCTGTTAATAGAGGCCCTCAGACAATTTTCCTTTTTGTCCATAGGATAATGCGCCACTGCTAATATGGTATACTGTATTAACATTGGGAAAAGTTTTCCCGTTTAGGGAGGTTTTCGTTTAATTCGGGTGGTTCCGTTTTGGACAGGTTTTACTGTAATTATTACATCTATTTCGATCACTTTTGAAGACCTTTTACTAATACATATGTATAAACTTGAGTGTAAATACGGTAAATGTTGTTCGATGTTGTATGTTGAAAGTATGAAGATAATGTGAATACATTACAGTATCTCCATACTTTTAACATACAAATAAGAATATTACAACTTTTTGTAATTACTAAATTTAGAAATAGTTTATGAGAATAATCAGTTAAATATTATTTACGTATTGATGCATTTTATTTGCGCTTCAATTATGCCAAAAACTATTAGAATTTGTATATTTTATGTATTATTTTTAATTAAATGTAAATACGGGATGTCCTAAGTATAATCGGCCCTACTCACGATGAATTTAGGCAAAGGATACTCGCTAGAAACTTTGTTTTAGCATTATTTAAACTTAGAAACTTACAAAAGATTAATTAATGGTATTCTTATTCATCTATGTACCCTTGTGTACGAGTAATAATGGTTAGACTGATTTTACATAAAATAGTCTACTAATATATATCCTATAAAATGATGTACTGTACATCACTAATATTTTATAATCTCTGTGAGCCGATTTTAAATGGGACACCCTTTATATATAATATACATAACATCATAATTTTCGGTGTTCATCAATCCAATACTAGATGAAGTCTCCTGAAGTTTAATCTGTCTTTTCTTTGGATACCCTGTTCTTTTTTTCCTGCAGATTTCCAGTCTAGGAGGATCTTTACTTATCTATTACCTGTTCTTCTGACAGTAAGTAGATTTCCACTTTAATGATTATATAATATACTATATACNCATGTGTGCAGAACGCTTAATGCATTTGCTATATTAAGCATCGAAAAAGAAATTGCAAAAATTATAATTTTCCTGAAGTAATTCATGTATTAGCAAGAACAAAATCAAGCTTTAAATAAACATGCATTAATATATGTTCGTGTTTGTAATTTTTATTTATTTTACAAAAAATGTAGGGCCCAAATAGTTTCTTGCACCCGGGCCCCTTTATAGAGAAGGCCGGCCCTGGCGATTCGTTTTCTGTTGTGATCTGGATCTCAGATTGTAATTGCTCTATCAACTCTTCTTGAATTTTAATCTGATTTCCTTCTAAGTAGCGAAATTTTGATAATAAGTAGTAAATGTTGCTACCTATCACTATCTCGATTACACATCTGAATGCTTCATAACATAGATTTTCAATCATTGGGATAGTTTCTCGATCATCAATTGAAAGTTTTGTTCGCTCAACAATTTTTATTTTATTCAACAGTAAATATTGTTATATCATAAAACCCGTTTTATTGTTTAAGTCAGCAGTTTCCAATCTTTTTTGACTTGCGTACCCTTTGCAGCCCATTTTTCTAAATTGTACCCATTAATTAGTAAATTGGTTGTACTTTATATAATTGTATTTTAAACTTAACTGTAAATAAATAGCAGTGACTTGGCAAGAAAGGTGCACAGGGCCGCTGAATTGATGAAAATTAAAAGATTATATCTGTATAGATATAAATGTTTAGTGTTTGATGTATTATCTACTTTTCTACTTACCATACTTTGAGGTCGGTTAATAAAAAAGAAACTAATAATAAATTAAATAATTAAAGTGAGTGTCCATCAATGGCCGAGTGTATAAAAACTACTGAACGCTGATTGGTCGTGGGTTCGCGCTTCGCCAATGGGGTGGCCACGTGGAGTTTTTCGGATTTTCTTCACGTTTGTAACACCTAAATAGAGGCCAGTTTCCTAGAGAAAGTTCTTCTGGGAGGCATCCCCTTCGGCAGATCGCTCACGTGTCGCGTTGTCGTAAACAACTAATCCAATCCAAACGACATTTTTAATTTCTTTAAAATTAGAAATAAACGAATCAATAGTAAAGCAAAGAAAATCTTTAAAAAGTTTTGAAAGAGCTCTGGTAAAACGGTTATGGTGGTAACCAGCCGCTCTGGGGATCCGAGATCGCGACAGGATGGATTTAAAAAAAACCAAGAATTTTCCGGATATGTCTCGCCAAGAATTTTCCGGATATGGGTTCGGCCAGGCCCCAATGTGGGCCTGACCGAACCCATAATGGGCTTGATGAAAACGCTTTCTTGGTGCTCGTAGATGTTACCTATGGTTTCAAAATGGCCGCGCTTCGGTTAGGTTCGTTTCGTTCCGTTAGATTAGCTACATTTTTTTAGACGTTTTCTTTTCTTTATTATTTATTTATTTATTTATTTTGTTCAAGAACTACCGTGAATCAATACTAGTGAAGTTTGGCACTCGGCGGCCTGCCGGCGGCACCCCTCCGGGAGGAATCCGTCTGGACCACGATCAGTCGGAAGCGCGGCCATTTTGGAACCATAGATAACATTAATGCAATAAAAATTATTTTCATGAATAATTTTGCTGTTACTGAATTCAAAACGGACAGAATGCGCCATTGCGTGACAACTGCAAATCTTCTCTTTCCAACTGAAATTGTACGAAAGTCCAAATTTTACGGTCCTCCATTAATATTGTAGATCATTAGTAATTCAAACATCATCTTGTAATGCGTGACATCCAGATGTAACGCTATATGGGGATACAAATTTTCATCCACGTCGGGCAGATCACATTTCAATCCGATGCGGATGAGGGATGAAGAATGATTCTAATTATTACTATGATAAATTATGAGTATGTGGATCGAACTGGAAACAAGCGGCATCACTTTTTATCGCGCCGTTATTTGGTCGAACTGATATACAGTACTGTATTTAAGAAAGATTTATTCTAAAATATGTTTTAATCATTTTTGTCTTTTAAACACTGAAGTTTCATCGGTTCAAATATACGTGTTTCGGATTTTCTCCCAGTTTCCCACTTCGTTGCGATGATTTTAAAGTTAGATTCATAGAAAGTTTGAAGGATTTAGCATGTAGATAGTAGGAGTGAGAAGTTTCATTATTTATAGTAAAATTAATAACATTTCATAGAAAATATCTATAAAAATAAATCGTACAATTATATTTTGAGTTTTGAATGAGAATGAGTAAAAAATTTTTTTTTAATTCTATTATTTCGTTTTTTTTTTTTTTATCGGGATTGTAGAGGGCGTGACGAGATTCAAATTTGAAATGTGACCTTTCGTCGTCCCAATGTAAGTCTTCCAAAAGGTATTTTGCTAACTGGGTACACGAATCTTCAGACCACTGAACCTTTTCGGCTTTGAGTAAAACATATAAAATGTATCAATCCGCAAACGTTTTCGAATTCCACCCGATTCCGGCTTCGGGCTGAAAGAGTAGGTTTCGAATTGGAATGCATCGAATAGAATGCACGTGTAGAATTTAAATTTGAAGCCCACCAGAGGCCAAGCGGTTTTCGTTCCTCGGTTCGCGCCTCGCTTCCGGGTTTTCTCCACGTCTGTAACGACTAAATAGGGGCCAGTTTCCCTTAAAAAGACCTCTCGGAAGGCGTCCCCCCCTTGGCAGATCGCCCAAGTGTTGCGTTGCCATAACTTAACAACAATTCAAATTTGAACAGACCAATATAACGCGTTGAGCCCTACTACGTCGCAAAGGTTATAACGACGTTTCGTTCCATGCTCTCCATGATTTAGATAGCTGTATCTCGTCCCTACAGTTGATGCAATTGTCAGCTAAGGCTGGCTTTAAAAATAGGCTATTTCAATGGACTGAAAGAGTGAAGTGGTTCCAATTTGTAGAGGGTCTGATGAGTTGGGCCTGATTTAATTTAGCCTTTATATGGGCTTTATAGGCAAAGCTAGACAGGGTAATGATGTTTTTCAGTGCTTTAGTTGTGTTCACGTATCCTCTGTTCTGATGACCTTCTGGTGGCACCCAAGTAGACCAGATCTTTCTCGAACCTCTCGTCTCTTATACACTTCTGGGAGTTTCTGGTGGTTTGGAGATCTTTTCCGATTCCTAATATCGTTTCATAATAACGAATATCGTCGGATTCCTCGTATATATAATTTTCAACTCTCTGCACCTTGCTATGTTTGCATATATATTGATGGCAATTTATGGTTGAAATTCATACTCAATAGACAATTTGAGCTTCTCGAAGTCGAGATTAGTTCAATAACTCCATGAAAAGAAATCTCAAGAATTCAAATCTGGAGAATATACGAACCAATTAAATCCACATCATGCAAATTTCATTAAAACACGTTTTAATATGCTGGCTTGAATGGTATTCATGAAAGATTTATATGCTTGCATCTTATATCATTGAGATTGGTTGATAATAATAATAATAAGCGCAGAGTCCGAACGGTTAGGAGTTGAAATTTGGTACTCAGGGTACGTCATAAGAATGTACACTAAAAAAGATATATCGAAATTCCCCCCACGGGGGAGAGGGAGAGAGTTAAGAATTACCCTGAACTCGGATTCTACTGTACTATTTTAGATGCGGTTGTTTGCGTTTTGCGGAAAATCGAACGTATTTTTAGACCCACCTAAAATTCTCTAATTAGTCTCGGAAGAGGGTGAACCTAGTTATTGCAACCACTGAAAACGGGTAAGATCGACTATAATCTAATAATTTTAATTTTTGTTATCGTTACTTTTTGCCCGAGCAACGCCGGGCTTATCTGCTAGTATTGTAATAAAGCATTAAACTTGATAACATTTCGGGTCCATCAAGTTTAATGCTTAAAGATCAGATGCTTCTTTAATCAGACTTGTTAAGTTAAAGCTTTTTGCATTTGTTTCTTAGATTCTTTACAACTTACTATTTGTTAATTGTCGAGATAATATTATTATGTGTAATTTTTCTCGTTATAGAAAAGAATGGATGCGAACTACGTAGACGTAGGTTCGGAATTTGTTAATGTTTATATTAACAGTAATAAAAGGAAACTTTTAAAAGTACATAATACCATTATATCGCTGGAAAGTAAATATTTGAATGCAAAAACGTCGATAAAAAGAACGACAAATGCCATTAAAGATGAGCTCATGGGTGAATTGGAAGTCACTTATCGATCGAAACTACAGTTTCTGCTTGATTTTCAGAGAAAAGTCGAGGAATACCTGTCGAACCTTTTAAATATCTGCAGTAATTACCACCGTTTGCGCGATATCTTGAGACTCGCAGAGAATAGTCCCGACAAAGTTCTTCTTCTACATTATATTCCTCTGGATTTTATACCGCAAGACATTTCGATAGCCAAATCGGCTATTGGTTATCTCAAAACGTGTACTTATTTGCCAGAGGAACTGACTCTTGCTACATTCGAAGTGGATAAGTATTGGTTAGAAGTGAGAAATAGCAAGCCTTGGCAATCTCTTTTAATGTATTCTCTAACTGTTTTTGCCGAAAATTTTGTAGGCAGAAAGTTTTATGGGAATGTCATTGATAGAAAGAATGGTTTGTATTTAATTACTTTGCATAACAATTTCGGTATTGATTACAAAGTCTCTGTTTATTTGTATGGTCGTCATGTAAGAAACAGTCCATTGATAATAAAAGTTCCACCTCTTAGAAGTGACAAATATGGATCTTACTATTTAGAAAACGCACGTGTAGAAACTCCAACACTTAAAATAGTTGAAATACCGAATCAGAATGAAAATATTCCTAAGCTCATCGACGACGGTATTTGCAGTTCATTCAATACAGATGACATCAGCTCATTCTTAAAGTGTGAGTGGGACAAAAGTATAAGAAGTGCTAGCAGAATGGATAATTTGAAGATCGGTGCTACTGGAGGAGATGAGTTTTGGTCTCCGCAAACAGTTGAGAATTTAAATGGCTCGACAAGAGATGATTGTACTCGTGCTCGCAAAAGTTTGAAATATACTGATGACGATGATGAAGGTAAGAATAAATTCACATCCAAAATTTGTTCTATATTTGTTTATCGCGCTTATTTAATGTTCTTTATTTTAAAATATCCAGAGAAAATTGTTCCAGTCACTGCCAAACTCACGCATGTGATTTCTAATCAATGCGGAGTGGATCTTAAAAATCCCATCGGCGTCGCCGTGACTAATAATAAAGACGTAGTTATATGCGACACAGGAAACCACAGAGTTTGGATCGTGGACGAAACCGGAAAGACAAAGGCAATATTTAATACCACGGATCGAGGTAACTTGGTTAGAAAAAGAATTGAAGGTTAAAGTTTAAGAGATTTAAATTAAGCAATTGAACTTTCAGGTAAGAGTCTTCGCAGGCCTTCGGCAGTCATTATACTTCAAAATGGGGATTTAGTTATCAAAGATAGTAATTCGCTTCACTTTTACGATTCTAATGGAATATTCATGAAAAGTATTGGCAATAGAATATTAAACAGACCTTTCGGTATGTATATATGCTTGTAATTATAGTATGAAACAAGTGATTGTATATAATTAGTTGAAAATGTTTTAAGGGTTGGTGCTGACGGAAAATGAAAAGTTAGTGACTCTATGCGAGAGTAGGCATCCGAAGTTGTTTGTGTTTAACAAAGACGGCCAGTTGGAAAGTAAGAGCTTTTATCAGCCGCTATTGAACAGGCCAGAAAATTCGAAATGTCGTTTCATGGCCACGTACAAAAACGAGTTGGTCGTATCCGATTTAGGTGAGTTTAAGATTATTTTTATTCTCTAATGAGTACAGATTAATCATATTTCCATTGTTTTAGGATTAAGCACGATGTATAAGACTAATTTATTGGGTGAACAAATCCAAGTTTTTGGCTCTTACGGCCGAACTCCCGGAAATTTCAACGAACCGTCGGGAATCGCATTAGATTCCAAAGGTACTATGCTGATAGGAGATAGTAGGAATGATAGGATTCAGGTTAGTGTTCGGCGATTTTTAATAATGATGTTTAAAATTATATGCGCAATGAAAATATATGTAGTTAGTATTCAAAAGAGTATCAGAGAGAGATTGTTTGTTGCTATAAAACCCTGATGTCCAATGGCTGACGGAATAGGATGTGTCTTATAGAGCCATATATGTCTTATCTGGGTTTCAGGCCAGCTGGTTTTTCAGAAATTTACACAAATGGTTAGCCTTAGTTAATTCAGATCTGTCTTTACATTCCCAACTGCCTTCTTGCAGACTTTGAATCTGCATCTATGATTGGTGTGTTCATATAGTGGAAGGTATTGACATAACCCCATCCCTCCTTTAAACAGTATATATAATTAATGGACATATAGTACATACATAATTATATATTAAAAGAAATTTAGATCAGGGCATCGTTTCTCATTCACTCGTGCTAGCTGACCTCTATTTGCAGCATTATTTAAAATGGCTTGCCTGCAATATGCTAGTGATCCACATTAATTAATCTATCTGTTTATCCAAAAGAAATTTCCAATAGTGTTAATAAGCAGTGTTGCAAAAACGTGCTGTTTGCAGTTATGGAAACGAAAGAAAGGTTTACACAACTAGACGTAAATACACGAAAAAGGCATAACGGAAAAATAATTATTCATGTTAATGAATAATTATTTTTGTTGAATGGGATCTCAATACTACCTTTGTATGGCCACCTAAAGCTTAGTTCAGCTTTGCAGCCTCTAGCATAGAATGGATGAGTTTCTTTAAGTATTCTATTACAAGCTGTTGATACCAATCCCACTTCTAATATATTCCTGTAATGCTATTTACTTTCAGGCTACTTCTCTGCAATTTTCATACCTACAATATATCAATAGCTCAACCTGACCAGATTTTGCTTCTAATCTGAACCTCTAGGAAGCTTTTTACTTAATAAGAATATTTGCCTCAATTTAAGTAACAATGTTAATAGGCCATAGAGAAAAGGGCACATTATACTTTACGCTTCCCTCTATGACATTGCACAGAGTTGTCCTGGAAGATACAAGATTTGGCATCATAAACTTTCGTTCCTTGATTGTTGGATTTTTGGAATTTGTTTGGTAGGTAAGATGATTTTGTAGCACTATTTATAAAGCGAAGTCTGTATCCCACACCATTTGATTGGCCAGAAACTTTACAGTTTACGTCAAGCAGTCTCTGTTATAGGCCTTGCCTTTTCTTGACCAAGGGCAAGGATTAGAAAATACTGTAAATAGAATGATGTAAACATGGTTTAGACTATACTCTGTCAGTTAAGTTGATATGACATAGTTTGACATGACATCAAAAAACCACCGTGATAGAAAGGAAACAGGCCACATCATTCATTGTCTTTAGGCATATACATTCGGTAATCCAGCAATCGCACTAATCTGGCACCCTTCCGTACAAAAAATGGCAGGATTAGCGAGCATCTACTGTAATAGAAACAGTTTTTGATGATTATGGAAACATTAAGAATAACTTTGTTTTACAGATCTTCGATTGGGACGGAGAATATTTGGACGTAGTGCGGTTTTTGGAACCCATTCGTAGGCCTTCGGATATCACCTTAACTTCCGACGGTTACCTGTACGTTCTTAATTACCTAGACCATTTTCTAGGTATTTATAAATTAGAGATGGACGAAGAATAAGACTACATACAATACACACGTAATATTTGTCATAAATTACATAGAGATATGTTCATTGTGTCCATTGTTTAATGTTTATTTAATATAAAATATATTGTTCCTTTTTCTGTCTGCAAGAAAACAGACAATTTAAATTGTTTCAACATTGTGTTTATTTGAAAAATTCCAATTTGTATTTGTTATATTTGAAGTTTTTAGCGATTTTAAGTGTGCGATTGGCATAATAAAACGCAAAAAATAATTTAAATACTTTAAAAATGTACGTAAAGTTTCATGTATAAATAAATTTGCTGATTTTAAATTTATTTTTAAAAAATGCTTGAAAAACGCGACAGAAAAATCGAAAAGTTTTCGCCCCTTTATTCAAAATTCGAAAAAAAACATGCGTAATCAATTGCGCATACGAAATTTAAACAACTTTTCAAAATTTCGAACTGTAATGTTCGCCATTGAATAAACACTACAGGCCTTTTTATCAAGCACATTGTAATAACGTTAAGACGGGCCCCGATTTATCCGGGACAGACCGTTTTTTCGACTGCCCAGGCTCTACAGACATATTCGTTAATGCTATCGTTTCGGCAAGAAGGGAGATTATTCCTTAAGTGTCAAACGTTAAAAACGTCACAAAAGTGTAAATATTATTGCTTTTTTAATTTTTTAAACAACAATAATCTTAACAGTTTTCTTNAAAAATAATAATAATAATAAGTTTCAATAAAAATGATAAAATGTAAATTGAATTTTATCATAACGAGTTTGCTTGAATTTCGTTTCTTCTGAAATCGCAGCAATGCGCGACGGGTAAGCTAGTGTTATATAAACAACAAGCCGAGAAAGTAAGAGGAAAGATTTATGCAACAATTTCATAGGAATAAAATCTTTAACAGAAATCAGAAACAAAAATTGCCATTTCACATTGCGTCTAGTTTCAGTTTTCTGTATTCTGTACCCATATGCAGAAGTCAAGGTTGACTCTAGTGGACCGAAAGGTCCACTAGAGTCAACCTTGACTTCTGTAGAGTGACACTGTAGAGTGAACCTTGACTTCTGACAACCAGCAATTACTGTATTTATTGTGACATCACAATGCCGAGCTGCAGTTTTTCGTCACGATGCTCTCAATTTTAGTAATGAATTCCCCCTGTACATCATACTCTTCCTATTAATAAGAGAGTTAGGCCAGTCATCTATCTAACTCCATTTAGAAGGAAATATTTGAATTGGAATAACGTGACTTCTTGTACAAACCAGAAGTTCTTATATAGTTAATCGGAGCCTCCTCCTTTAAGTTTTCCATATCTGGTCTCGATTTTCGTCTTTCTAACTCCGTTCTCGAGATTAACAAAGGATAGAAAAACAGACGGAATCAAATCAGAATTTATAGGTCTTCAATTTTTGAAAATTGTAGCGCGATATGGATGGTATGTATGTATGTATGTAAGTAAAACAGCGCTTTTGGACACATTAAGTAGAATTTTCCATTAATATATAAAATAATAAAAATATTTTATTTTAAATATTTTCACCAATTGAGTGAATGTTGAGGTCAGAGACTATCATCAGTGTTCATAATATAGTTTATGAGTAAATGCCCTTGTAAGACTTCCAGAACGTACAATAAAATATGAAAATTATCGTTCTAGTTTTTATATACAGTAGGTGATATTTTAATGAGTTTAAAATGATGTGACAAAATGATAAATTATGTTGCTTGATATTATAGTACAGACTAGCTTTTTCTGTTAAATTTTTTCCACTGATTTTCTTTTATTTATAACAGTAAAGCCTGATTTTATAAAATATATACTGTACTATCCGGCATCATCCGACTAGTGATTTACTCTTTTTATTTATTCTTCTGGCAGATCGACGCGATACAAAAATAAAAGAACAAAAAAAGAAGCAGACAGCAGATTTAACGTTGAGATCGCTCCTCTAGTCGGATTTTTTAGATTATATAGGTTATATTCATTGTTGTAAGGAATAAATAGACATATATTTATACATTTGGAATAAATTTCTTTCCGAAAATCTTCCAGCTGCCACCTTACACGTGCACAGGAAATTAAAAAAATAAACTTTAGTTACCACTGCCTCCCTTCTCCACTCGCTGTGACATATAAAAACCACTAACATTACCTCTAGACCAGTGTTTTTCAACCTTTTTTTTTATCTCACAGCACATTTAAACCTATAAGTTTTTGCAAAAAAATCACGTGATTTAAAGTTGTGTTTGTAAGCATTCTATTGCCGTATTACTTTATTGCCTTATTTATAGGGTTTTTCGCTAAATTGTCCGGCTATTGACGTAATTACATACTATTTTGTTTTCTATTCTTTGGTTACCTTAAAGTAAAAACGTTAATCGGCGCTGAAATGGAATCAGATTGTGTCCTGATAATATTCAAATCACATTTAAAGGATTGTTATCCACAGCCAGTTTTTCTGGTAATTGTTTCTTGATTTCCTATAATAATTAATACTGTAAAAATGACTTTTAAGTAAAATCTTGTAAAAACATTGCCACGCACAAAAGAAATATGGCGGCACTGTTAACCTACCGCTTTGGGGGATCCAGGATCGAATCTAAACGAGTTTAAAATCTGGAAGTCGTCCATTTGAATACTTTGGCCCTCGTCCTTACCATCCATAATAGGCTTGCCATAAAAGGCCCTCTTAGTACCCAGTGGGCGTAGAGACATGCTCAAGACGGATTGTCCAATAAACCAGTTTTGCCAACGTAAATAATTTTTAAAACGACATTTTGAAATTGGAACGAATAAATTTTAATATTTCTTTTCTGTGTGTGTCAATGGGAAGGGCTTAAACCCCTATAGTCCCCGGTGGATTTGCCCATAAAAATAAAATACTTTGAATTCTTCTATTGTAGAGTTTTTAATAATTTAAATGCATTTGAAAGTACATTCTAGAACATATTTTTTATATTTAAAAGGAGAGAATTAAAAATTTGCATATTTTAATTTATTTTGTTTGCAGCATTCCATTATAAACACACAATATACTTTCGTAACATGGAAGTTAAATTATTGCGAAAGTTTATCTTAAACAAAAAAATTGTTAAATTGAAGGTCTTCCAGAAAATAAAACCTAATTTGATTTCTGGATTTCAAGGAAAATAGTGAAATGACGAGATGTTATGTAAAGATTAGAAGTTCGTTCTTTGGAATGTTCCTTACCTGCCTAGTTTAATCTCCTGTAAAACTAAACGTGATTTTTTTTTAATTTCATAGAAATAAGAAAGTTCTTATTTACTGTATAATTGTTTTTAGGCAGACCTCTCAACGAACAGTTTAACTTAACAACGAGATAAAATAATATGAGTCAGTTGCTCTGTAAAACAGTCAACACCCCTATAACACTGTTGATAATTCCGTTTTATATGAATTCCATGCTGTACGAGTCACTTAGATTTTACAAATACGTATGCCGGGCTGTGAACGGCTCGCGTATTTGTAAAATCTAAGTGACTCGTACAACATGGAATTCATATAAAACGGAATTATCAAGTGTTATAGGGGGGTCGACTGGTATAGAGCAAAATATAGATCAAAACACACACGCGCATACAAAATTTTATACCGTCGTTTTATATATTTTTAGAATTTAGGACCATTTTAAGGTCCTAAATGTTTATATGTTAAATGCATTTTATACAGGATGGCCCAAAAGACAGGTTACTGTATATTTTACAAACAATACGAATGTTTACAATAAAGCAATTGGTGAAAGTGGGATTCAAAGTACTGTAATTTGCATTCTTTTTTTTTAACAATTAGTAAGATCGAGCAAAGTTTGTAAGTAATAAATCATTTTAATGAGACTGCAACTGCAATTTTACAATGTGTAACTGACTTTTGGACTATTTTTTTGTATATAAATTTCATTGAATTTTAAGGAAATGAGTAGAAAAAAATAATTTATACGACTCAACATTTCTCATTTGGTTCGGTAATTGAAGTAATTAAAAATGTTTTCATAATAATGAATCCATTGGATTAATTTCTAATTATATAGATCTAAATATAAAAGATAAAAATATATTCCCGAATAAAATAAAAGAAAGATTCATTTTGTGTAAATGATGTAGTGGATTTCAATGAAGTAAGTGGATCAATTACTTTTTAATGGATTAAGCTTGATTTTTTTTTACTCGAGGTGATGATTTTCAGTGAAATTGACTAATAGGAATGAGAGATAGGAAAAGACATGAACTACCCATTACTAATCAGGTGTTCGGATGGGATTCGAAGCCGGTTTCCTAACTGTAACAAGAGAATAGCCATAGAAATGACTTCTTAACGATGCGAACAATTGATTCGAAGCATTAAATCAAAGAATAATTCATGTTTTCAATCAATTAGAGCGGTGATTCTTAATCAGGGGTGCACGGTGGTACCAGGCATCTTTTTTGGAAGTGCGAGACTTTGTATGTTTATAAATATATATTTAATTAATTATAAAGCCATTGTTTACCACACTACATTCGTAAAATCTTTATTAATTTTAAATTTGAATTTTACATCAAACCGATTTTGAGTGTTTTGGGAGGATCTTTCTTAAAGAGACTTAGCGAATTTTTTATGGGTGTTCAACGTGATTTTAAATAATTAGAAATAAGAGAAAACAAACTTTTGGATATCAGAAAATCAATTTAAAAAAATTCCGATATTAAATCTATAATTAATTTTCGATTTACTATTAATTCCGTCATTTATTACCTTTAATTCGAAATCATTAAGTGGGGGGTTCGTGAAATTTGCACGTGGAAACAAAACGTGCGACCGAGTGATTACCGAGGAGATGTTTATTCTTCTCGAGCAACATAAACATTGTGTGTCGTTCGACCAGCATCCAGTCATGAAAATTGGATACGTTACACCTCTGGCAAAGTACCGAAAGCGTAACAAGAACCCCGTTGGCATAGTCCGGTCCGAAGGTTGGACAAACGTCATTTACGCATCGTTGGCACGGAGACGAGGTCATCGCGTAAATCACTCCATCACGTTGCACTCAGACACATATTACCCAGGCTCTAACCAATGGCAATCGGATCCTCTTATTATTCCAGTTAAAAATTTAACTTCGGAAAAGTGTGTGACCCTCATACCTCCAGATATCGTCTATAAATTAGTTTTCTAGAGCTAAAGGTGGCTATAAATTTCAAATAATACACGATAAAAACAGATAAAATTCTTTCCTTTTATTAAATTCTAACGATATCTATACACTTTGACATTCAAATTAAAGGATTTTTTCTAAGAAATTGATGCTGTAAATTATAATCTCGATCTGTCTATTAAATTTTCTAGCTACAAAACGTGAATAAATTTTAGCGGAAGAACTTCACAGCTTTATTTTTTAATACAAATTCCTCGATAAGACACAATTAATTCCTTAATTTGCACTATAAATTCGTATACATTCCTTTGTACTTTGTGGTTTAAGAAGTGAGTATTGTTCGCAACAATTACAGAAAAATTTTTTAACTCCATCCCGTGGATCAATTAAGATTATTAATTAAAGAATATAAATTTTCAATTTAAAAAAAAATTACACGGAACGGTACCTGTTAAAATTTACAAGTCTGGATCTGTGAGACGAAGATGGATGATTCGAATGGACAGATATTAATTGCAAATCGCCTTAACGCAGTTTTCGTCCTTCAGCATTTTGGCAAGCATGGAAATGTAACTAATGGCCAATTTTAGGGTTTTAATTTTGGATAGTTTTTTAGACGACTGTTGTTGAAACGAAGTGGGTATCACTTGTCTAAGTTTCTCCAAAGCGGCATTCAGTCTATACATCCTCCTCCTCTCTTGCCTGTTAGCCAACATTCTCTTCCTATCCAGTTCCATCTGAGTCAAAGGTTTCTTCCTGTTATACTTTTTAGAGCATCCTCTCTCGTTGGAATAACTTCTCCTACTCGTAGCATCTTCCTTTTTTGAATAGCGATGATAACGGTGTTGGGAGGACGAGTCTCCAGAGTAGAGGACGTTTTGGTTGGAGCGTACGGGAGAACGGATTTCTTGATAATATCCCTCCCGTTCGTAATCCACAAAGTAGCAGCCGGAAGAGCAATCTTCGAACGATTTCAACACGTCATCTACAGATTCAAAACGGAATAGTTTATCCCTCTCCACAGCATAATAGTCCGTGGCCACGTAATCCTTGATAGACTTGGGTTCTAGAGTCGAGCAGGAACGATCGTGTTTCTGGCAGGAGTCCATTTGCAATTTACGAGAGGCGGAAGATCGTGATGCCCTGACGATGCCCATGCGTTTTTTCTTCTGCGGCCATAGTTTTGAAGGACCTTTCTACTACTAAACCACTACTTCCGCCCGGCGAGCTGCACCTGATCCGGGAGTCGAACGAGAAAGGAGCTTGGCCATACACGCACTTTGCCCCGTGGGACGAACGTCTTAAGGTCTCTGTCTAATAATAAAGTTGGCCCGTAGTCGGGGTGGCCATTTGTTTGCGGGTAGAGACCGATTACTTCTATATGGCTACGCTCGTCGACACGGCCGTTAAGATGGAATGGAGAAGAACGTAGACGCCCCTTCGACAGCGGGACCACCTTAGACATTTGTCAATCGCTTACCGTCCCGCCCTTTTCGGTATATTTCCCTTTGCTCCTCTCTTTCCGCCAGTCGTTAAAGCGGCGTTACTGTCGCCAACCAGAAACGGTCATTATTTTTGTCTCCCTCTTTTCAATTTTGCGTAAACAACTGAAAAATTATACGAGAATAATACGTCAGCTTTTCTTTTCTTTACCTTTTTCTCTTTCTTTATAACCGCAAACTAATTTTATTCTCCTTATTTCATGGCAAAAATTCGCAAATACCTTTGATAATTCCGCTGGAGCCACGAAGTTATTAGTAGAATTATCAATGGGATTACCTACGGATATAAAAGTTTATTCTTTTTAACACTTTAAATACCCGGAAAATATTAAATTAAATATAAAAAATTGTTTAGATTAATATTTCATTTAGTTAAATCTCATAATTTCGGCACCTCATTAATCATTTACATATTCCTCAAGGGATTTTATCTCAGGAATTCCAGAAATAAAATTCTATTTTCGGTTGCTGAAAATAAAAATTTTAGCAAAATATAATACGCAATTAATTAATAAATATAATTTTATTATTAAATTTAGCGTGTATATTCCGAAATATCACCTGTTTTAAAGCAATTTTACTGAATATACATTTTCTATAAAGGATTATCCATTGAATATTCCAAGAATCCTGTTTATGGCTAGTTAAATTCCATCAATTTTCATAAAGAAAAAAAAAATGAAATTCTTGAAATTTTTATATGTAATTCGAATTATATTTTATTAATTTTATTAGTAAAAGCACCAACAAATTTCTTCCTGATCCTCGGCCCGTTTCTGCATCCACAGGAGACATACATCATGTAGAAACGGAGTGGGATGCCCTTTCCGGTTTTAAAAGTGAATTGCCGAAATTTGTCTCCCGGATCTGTCACCCTAGCAATTAACTGCGTATCCTTTTTCAAGGGGTGCTTCTTCTAATCCTCAGTACAACATCGACTCGACTTATTCTCGGAATTTTAGTTTCCTCTCTCTCAAGATTCACGCAAAAATATCCAATTTATCAAAAATAATTCACTAGAAAATTTATAGTTCACGTACAATAGACAAATTTAATTTTTGATTCGACCCACGCTAAAATTCTGTAGATTCTTCATAGGAAAAAAAAAAAAAGTTTTTTTGTTTGTACAGAAGAAAGAGAGGGAGGAACGAACGAGAAAGTTTCCGAAGGAGCGTACAGACAAACAGCAGACTCGGCGCAACAATAAAGTCGTTTGTCAGTACGAGTTGGCAACTTGCAAAGATCCGCCCAATGACACGCCCCATTTAAAATAAAAGATGATCCGCGCGCTGGACCGGAAGTGGACCGAAGAGACAAGCGGAACCGTCACGCATCACATCCGGCCTTCCAAAGAGAAATACCTAAACAAAATGGTATTCTAAACAATTACTAAAGAAAATATTTAATCTAGTTATAGTTTCGTTCATTTAAATAAACTTAAATATCGAAAATTTTCTATCAGTTATATTTGATTTTAATTTGTACCAGATTTGTACGTGTTTCAATACGTAAAAATGCATACGAAATAACCTCCGAACAACGGCCATTTTTTTTGTGTACTCGTTGGTGGCCGTTGTTTAGAGGTGCGGCTGTAATAGGAAGTAAAATAAATGGATTTTATTTTACTTCCTATCCTATATTTGATCCTTAAGTTTTAATTCATCATTACTTTAAATTAACTGCAGAATAATCTGTCAAATGATCAATAAATATCCTTCTATTGTCATGAGAGATTCGAATTCCAAACTGACCTCATATTTTATTATAATTAAGGATCCTTCTCCAATTCTCCCTCGCAGTGATTGGCTCATTGAGGTTCAGGCTTGCCTATAATAGGTGAAATTGAGATCAGCCGTATAACTTTTAGGGCACCGGCACCTCTCGTCAACAAATCAAATCAAATGAACCAACTACCAGCAAGATGTAAAGTAACAAAAAAATATAAGCGAAAGCAATGGTCTTAGTATTTATAATAATGAAACTGTAAAACACAAAAAAAAAAATTGCTCGGACTTAACAGGGGTTGGAATTTAGGGAATTTGGAATTTACAAAGGGGGACTCCAACGTATCTTTTATAGGATTTTTCGAAGAATATTTGTGTCATATTGGGTATAGAACCTTTTACTTAACATGTATATTCATATATTTTCTTTTATTTATTTTTTTGCATCTAACTTTAGTAAGATTAATTAAAATTTGCATAGACACGGTCGAGATGTTTACGAAGCACGTGTGTCCCAGTAATCTATTCTTAGATTTTTGCAGCTGCCCATATTTTATTCGAAAAACCATTACTAACTACACGACTGCCAGCTAAGTATATTACGCATAAATTAAGTATGGTTCGTAAAAATTCCATTCTAGTTCAACTCAAAACTTCTTGAATTTCTCGTACAGAACGTGTCGCTTTTAAACTGTATCCGGAGTTGTGTAAGAAACTGTTTATTTTCTCCTCGGCTTTTATTCGTCTGACGGACTTCGTTCTTTACCTTTGCTCGTTCATCGTCACGTACGCTGTTATGTAGCTCATTCATTATAGCTTTTGTGGCCCTGCCTGCATCTGGACCGGAACTGTTCAAGTCGGATAAAAAATGGACTAAACTAATGTTTCTCGTAAATAAAAGTCGAATGAATCGGCCGCTCTCTAGAGTTTTTTCAGCCTACCGCCACAATTGGATCCATGATTGATCCAGGATCGATGCCGATTGAATCGGATATTGATCCGATCGGTACAACTACAATTATCTTAAAAATTAAATTAAATTTGGCCTAAAATTAAAATAGATCCATTATCCTCCTTCTTCTGCGAGAATTATTGAAATGGCATAGTTTCTTTTCATCCATTGCATTCGTAATTGGCTCTCATAAAATATATCTTTTCACATTATTTTTCGACTTAATCAATATAATTTTATTAAGATTAAATTGTTAAAATTTAAAATCAATCATATTCAATTATTTTAGTATATCATTTCATATAAATATAATTGTTATGGCGTGTAATATGGAAAAATCTTGTCTAGATGAGAATCTGATATATGAAATTCTAAGCAAAAAGTATCAAGAGACACGTAGAGATTTTAGTTTATTCTCGGTGTTTACACGAAATATCTCCGGAACATAAAATAATCACGACAAGAAACAAAAATAGAAATGTACAGAGACATCAGTGATCAAATTCTAGAACTTTATTCTTGAGTATTTTATAGATTTTGATGACATAAATTCATTCTATGTAAGATTAGTGTTTTTGTTTGCCACTATTGTAAGCCTACTTTTTATTTATTGTTGTGAAAAATTATCCTTATCAGTGTCTTCTATCGATTAATTTGATCCATTTTTATAATTAATAGCCATAACACTGGAACCGTGCAATGGCAAGTAATTCTCTGAAGAGGATGAAAAATGGCTAATCTTCACTAATAACGCGATTCTTCCTTCTTCATCAGCGAGAAGAGGAAAATGTAAATATAAATATCACATTCACAATATGTGCATTACTCCAAATTTCCATGCTGCCTCGCGAACACTTAGACTTTGCAGAAAAGCATCAACTTTTAACAAAAGGGACAGGATTTTTAAAGCAAAAAAAAAAAATGAAATCGCGCCACTGGCAAGTAAATTGTTTATTTTATTATTTACCATTTATTTAACTATTACTGTATGAAATGTCATATTTAAGTACTGTACATTATTTTCCCCTTCCTGTATTTCCAGGAACGTAATCACAGATTACTTGTTTAAGTAGAATAGAACGGCTCGCTTAACGACGGTGTTCTAGGAGCAAATTAAGTCGTAAAATCGAGGTTTTGCTTTATGAATTATTTATATCAAGTCTCCAAATTGAGATAGTGTAACTGTCCATTAATTTACACTATTTTATGTATGTTGGTATCTTCACAATAATGATAATATCATGGACACATCATCTCTATTTACTCAAAATATCTGATACAAGAATAACGGTGTAAGAAAACTCTTAAATGTAAAATCTTAAATACTATATGTTATTCTAAAGTGGAGATATGTTTGATTTTGTTATTGAATGTTTATTTTCCATCTTACATCATCGTCATGCACCCCCCTTGTAACAGGCGACTGCCTATTATGTTCAATAAACTAATCTAATCTAATCTGATACAAGAACAGCTGTACAAATGTCATATATTATGTGTACAGTACAGTACAGTACATAATATCCGGTAATTTACATTCTAACTCCTATTTTTTTTTATTTATTTTGTTTTTAAATGGCTTAAAAAAACGACATTAAATGTGTTATCCACATGTTTATATATTTTAATATTAAATATAGTAATAAATATATAAAATATCTCGCAATTATTATATAAGATTTTATGTATTTTCTAGAGGACTTCCTCTCTAGAACTGACCCCTTAGGATTTGATAAAACTTTGCAAATATATTAAACAATTATTATTAAATACTTTTTTCGCTTCCGAATAAATTTAGGAATATTTTAAATCCTTTAAAAAATTATGTAAGAGGGTTGTTGTATATAATATAATATTGAAGGTTGAATACCCCTGTACTAGACATTTGTTTGTTATTGAAATTATTCAGTTTATTTCACACAGTTAAATATAGTGGATAGTTTTTATTCACGTGATTTATGACACAAAATTTTAGAAATTCCTGACCCTGGAGATATGTCGAAATTTAGTAAACTGTGCTATGAACGACCACGAAAATTCTTTATTAGATGAGTTACGACCATGTAACTTTTTTTTATTTCTTTCTTAGGGTATAATTTATTTCATTTACTTATCAAATATCGTTTATTCAAAACACGAATAAGAATAATATTTAGATAATGTCCAGCAGTAAAGAAACTAAAGTCTAAAAAATTTAAATTTAAAGTAAGAAGTTTGGCATTGACAAGTTAATTATTATCACTGGAGTCTTACAAATTATTAATTAACTAGTAAGAATTTTTTTAAATGAAATTTAATTTAAATTTAAATAATGAGATGAAGTATCGAGTTTCAGCGCTTTTATTATTCTATTTTTTTCTTGAGTGAGAATAAATATTTTTGAAAGTTTTTCGTGATGGCTCGTACAAGTTACATGTTTTTCATTATTGAAGTGCATTTCACGCATCATTTAACGCCAAGGTTGCGGTTGTGGATATAAAGTACAACAAAGATATTGTAGTTTCCTATAAAGGCTGAACGTTACTATAGTCGCTCGAAAGGTTATGGCTCGTATAGTCTTTCAAATTGAGTTATATCGAGGACAAACGGATTCTTTCGGGTGTTCTGCAGTTGTTATTATGTTATGTCCTCACCCCGCTTTGCTTTAAATAATATTGAAGAAAAATCTGTGTTAAATTAAACAGAGGAAGAAAAACATAAACATGTTGGAGATAGTAAAACTTGAATAGTTATTAAATGCATTATTATTATTATAAGTTGGATTCTCTTTGTTGTATTGTTAACCTAAATTATTTTAAAATAAATTCACATTATTCGTTTGCTCAATATAATTCTTTCTTTTGTATAATTAGAATTTAGAAAAAAGAATAAATGCTTATTAGAAGATAAAATCTATTGTTTGTAACTATTCCATAGTAACACATTTATATAGAGTTCTATACTGATATTTATTTAATTAAATGTGCTTACAGTATTAAAATTAAATCATCAAAATGCTAACAAAACGTAATTTAAAAATTCTATATTAAAAATTTTGTAAGATCGTAAATCATTCTTAGTTTTAATGCGGATAAATTCCATTTCTGAGGTAACTTAATTACATTTTTTGTATTTTGTTTTTCAAGTTAATGAAAAAGTCTTACTGAAAGTAAATAAATAAAGATTTTAAATTTCCTTTTGTTTAATTTTGTCAATATTAATATCAGCAACGTTAATAAATTCAAGTAAATTGGTTTGGATTCGTGGGATAAGGCAACCAACACACGGGCGGTCTGCCAAGGAAGGGAGTGCCTTGAGGATCTACAGGAAACTAGAAACCCCTATTTAGATTAGGCACGTGAAAAATCCGCGTGATCAGCCCGTTGGTTAGGCGCGAACTCGCGACCAGCTACCACTGTTCAGTAGTGTTATTCACTCACCAATTGGTGGGTCCAGTTTAAATAAATGAAAGGGCAGTGGCGCGTTATCCTGTAGAAAAAAAGGGCAATTGCCAGGGTTCCCAACAATAGGGGGTCGAAAACCGAACTTTTATTTAAAAAAACTTTTTTCCGAAAAAACTCCCTGGAAGAAAAATGTCTGAACTCAACACTACGAGGTCCCTAATTCAAATCTGCCTGGGGCCCATGAAGCTATAACGCACCACTGTGAAAGGAATTCAATTTCTGTAATTTGCTTTTATTTTTAAAAATTTAACTTCAATATTTACTTCAGGAATTTGTGACGTTTATGGGACTTTTTGCTTTTTTTAATCATTACAGGTAATAAGTTTCCAGCATGATCCAATGCTACTTTCAAAGATCCATTTAATTCACAAGAAACAAGTTTACCATCCTATACTCACTTATTTACCTTGAAAACCATTGTAGATAATTTATACCACTGATCTAAATTTTTTAACAACAGTACACTAATAATTTCTATAGCAGACAGTATTAGTTCCAGACTCAAGCACAAGTACACACAGATGCTCAAATAAATCTTCAAGATACAGAATTCATTGTCATTTTATGCATTGTATTATTTGCAACATGACCGGGATGATGTACAGATAATCATCATATTTCTGATATTTGAAGTAAAGTAATATAATGAAATCATGCTTGAACCTATAAAAAATTTTCAACACAAGAATTATTATTATTATTCTGATTTTTAATTTGACTTATCACAGATATATGAAGTGATTAGAACTCTAAATGTATTTACTTCAATGGAAACATGTATTGTAAAAACATTCTGTAGTAATATATGTTGGCATTGACTATCTATGACACTACCAGGTACACCTTTGAAGTTCCCTTTATGAAGAATTGGTTGAACTGAACATACCAGGAATGAAATGAAGATTGTGTTGAAAAAAATATATGTATATATTTCCTATAGTGACCAAACTGGCCCTTCTAGACCTTCATTGCAGCTCAGCTCCCGTACACATTATTTCTTTTTTATGAACTTGGTACACATAAACTCACAACATATCTTTCAACAGGCAACTATATGTTTACCTTACATTCAGAAAGTTGAGGGGATTAGGTGATTGTTTACCTGATTGTATTTTATAACTATATAATACCAGTAAAATAACAGTGATAATTATAATATTTTAATTATGCATAATATGAATAGATGACAAGGCTCTCCCTTAGGCATCCCAACAGAGGATGCAGCTCTTGTATATTTCTGATAGGCATTGTATAGCTCCTATCAAGACAAGATTTGACCACCACATAATATATAATCATATAATAAACTTATACAAAAAAAACTATTTTAAAAAGCAACTGTTTTAAAAATAATTTAAATTTTAAATAAAATAAATAATGAATATGAATATTGTTAGAGATTATAAACAATGACTCAATAAACCTGATTTTGATTAAAGACAGATCATCTTCAGATTATGATTAGGCTAAGTTAATAATTATCAACAACATGAAAACTTTAGAGATTATATCTAAAATGTATTTGTAGATTTTTATTTAAAAAAGAAAGACTAGACAAAATTGATGCTTTTTTTTTATATAAAGTGCAGTAATTTATCTATTTTATTTGCACAATAGAACATTGTCAGATTACATCTTGTCGTAAAAGCAACCAACTTAACGAGCCACTATACGCAGAGTAAATGGCATCTTTTAATAACTGCATTAAATTAGCAGTACTTACATATCACAATTATTAATAGGAATACAATTATATGAAGAAATAATATATCAAGATTTGATAAGTTCAATCTAAAATATAAATCAAATATTTAATATGAATAACAATATTAGTTGCCAATACAAATAACTATTTAAAATATACAGTAGCTTAAACTGAAAACTTGATTATCATCATCAGCTATTTGTAATTTTTTGAAATTTCAAATTAAGAATCTTGTGCATCATCTAGAATAGAAAAGAAATCAAAATTATTCACTATTTATTCCATTACGCTTCTTTTTTTTTGTTTGAAAAATTAACATCAGATTTGAAATAGTCAAAAATATTTATTAATTTTATCTCAAACAATTTTTTTTAGATCTTTTCATTATAGCATTCCAAACAAAGATAGGTCTATATAGAAACTACTGACAATTTTTTTTTTATGCAAGTTTAAATATCTAATGGATAGATATAAAGCATTAGGAGTAGTGGAGTATTTATTTGTTAGAGAATGACTTCAGAAATTTAAATATTAGTACATCGAAGATTATAATTAATAAAATTAATCATCTTAAATAATTTGAAGAAACGTATATGTATATAGAAAATATTTGTTAAAAATCTGGATGAATAGAACAGTTTCCTTCAGCATTATATTTTATATAAATCAAAAGCTGCTGACTAAAATTATTCTTATAAAGAGTGGAAAAAATAAAAAAACATGCATAATGAAAAGATATAAAAGTATATTAATACAAATAGAATAAAAAATTAAGAATAAAATTATTCAAAGCTTCGAAGTGACAATCATTTACAGAAAATCTAAATTTCGAAATGTCTAAGATATTTTTATATAGAAATATATATTTATTTAACAATATTATAAATGTAAAGTTTGCTAAAAATTAATATAATTTTTTAGAACAAATTATATAATTTATTGTTTTCTAATTATTAAATATATGAACGTTCATTTCCATTCAGAAACATTAGAGAAAATATTTTAATAATATTCAAATATTGTTTAACTAAAACAATTCTAAAATTTAGAAAGATCTCTACTTTTTAGTTTCTTACAATCTTATACATCTTTCTTATCTGTATAAATGAAAATTTGACCTGTATGTATTTTTTTAAATAGCAGCATATCTTCAAATTATAACAGTAAATATTCTGTTAATCAACACGATATAAAGATTTCATTGTGCATTACATATAAATTAACTTACATTTAAATAATTTTCTAATTAAAAAAAATAAGTAATCTAAGAAATACACATGTAAAAGAAATATATATTTTGGTTTTTTTGACTGTAATAAACAAACTCTATCTTATTAATATTTTAAATTAACAAAAATTTATCTGTATTAAATTTTTTCTTTTATCTTTTCAAATTAGTATGTAATAAGACTACTGTTTCAGAGTTAAAATCGTTAAAAAATATTATTTTCAGATCTTCATTTTACAATTTGTATTATCTGAGATTTTTTTTATTTATTAAATTATAATAGTAGAATCAAATAAGTTCACATTGATCTTAAAATCAAAAACATTCATTTAACTGATATAAAAATATTTTAGTTGCTTTAAAACTATCATTACTTCAAATTCAGCTACTGTAAAATTTACTTATACTAATTCTTTACTTTGATTATGACACTTATTCTAGAATTAATATATTAAAAAAATAAATAAAAATTCTAGAATAAAATAAATTCATATCTGCATTCAATCAAAAATTTCAATAATACATAATTGATATATATTAAGAATGGAATGCTATACAATTCAAGAAATATTTTTGTAAACAGATTGTAAAAATGGACTTGTTAATTTTAACATAAGAATAGAAAATATATTTTCTTAATCTATACAAATAAAATATTAAAAATTTCAATATATATTGAGAAGTAACACATTTAAACAGTGGAATATATTTTATTATTTCATTGTTAATTAAAGTAAAATTAAAAAAGAAAATAATATACTCAAAAAAAAAATAATTTTCCTCTGATTATCAATATTTTTATATAGACCTACCCCAAAAATTAAAGGAATCAATTCTAACATGTTTTCTTTATGTGAATCATTCATTCATTCTTATATAATCCAGTATATAAAATTAGAATTTTCTTGTTTCTTAAAAGAAAAAAAACAAAAAAAAAGTACATTCATATCTTTTTCTATGTAAACTTTACTGCTTAAAGAAACTCTTCTATCCATCCTTATTCTGAATATATATATATACATATTTACATTTATAAGAAAAAATATTTGGTATGCCCTATATAATCTATTTCAAACTTTTGGTTCTTCTTCTAATTTCATACAGAAAAATATAGTTCAAATCATGTTATCTGAGATCATAATAATTTAAAACAACACTGAACAAAATCAAATCTTCAAAATTAATTCAGTTATAAACTGATGTGCAAATCAAGAACAAAGTTTTTAAGGTGGGATTAATTAACTTACAATAAACATTGACATAAATATAATAGAATTAATATGACTGCCTTGTTTAAATGTAAAATTTAGTAAAATATAATTATTCATCCTGTTAGAATAGGAATTGCATTGCAAATTGCCATTAATTCATGTACAATTTTAGGCAAATAAATTATTAGAGGATGAGGTTTTTAAATTTTACATAAATATATTTCTCATAATTTTGAGAAAAAGCAACCAAAATTTATGATCCTGCCTCATGTTCTTGTCCCAGAGCTTCAAGAAACAGCCCCATCGGTGTTCTCTTTAATCCAATGGTCTCAATCTTATTAGTGAGCTTATTTTTCATGTTTCTTAATCTCATTGAAGCATGGAAGTTTTTTTTATATAAAGTGCAGTAATTTATCTATTTTATTTGCACAATAGAACATTGTCAGATTACATCTTGTCGTAAAAGCAACCAACTTAACGAGCCACTATACGCAGAGTAAATGGCATCTTTTAATAACTGCATTAAATTAGCAGTACTTACATATCACAATTATTAATAGGAATACAATTATATGAAGAAATAATATATCAAGATTTGATAAGTTCAATCTAAAATATAAATCAAATATTTAATATGAATAACAATATTAGTTGCCAATACAAATAACTATTTAAAATATACAGTAGCTTAAACTGAAAACTTGATTATCATCATCAGCTATTTGTAATTTTTTGAAATTTCAAATTAAGAATCTTGTGCATCATCTAGAATAGAAAAGAAATCAAAATTATTCACTATTTATTCCATTACGCTTCTTTTTTTTTGTTTGAAAAATTAACATCAGATTTGAAATAGTCAAAAATATTTATTCATTTTATCTCAAACAATTTTTTTTAGATCTTTTCATTATAGCATTCCAAACAAAGATAGGTCTATATAGAAACTACTGACAATTTTTTTTTTATGCAAGTTTAAATATCTAATGGATAGATATAAAGCATTAGGAGTAGTGGAGTATTTATTTGTTAGAGAATGACTTCAGAAATTTAAATATTAGTACATCGAAGATTATAATTAATAAAATTAATCATCTTAAATAATTTGAAGAAACGTATATGTATATAGAAAATATTTGTTAAAAATCTGGATGAATAGAAATTTAATTTAAATTTAAATAATGAGATGAAGTATCGAGTTTCAGCGCTTTTATTATTCTATTTTTTTCTTGAGTGAGAATAAATATTTTTGAAAGTTTTTCGTGATGGCTCGTACAAGTTACATGTTTTTCATTATTGAAGTGCATTTCACGCATCATTTAACGCCAAGGTTGCGGTTGTGGATATAAAGTACAACAAAGATATTGTAGTTTCCTATAAAGGCTGAACGTTACTATAGTCGCTCGAAAGGTTATGGCTCGTATAGTCTTTCAAATTGAGTTATATCGAGGACAAACGGATTCTTTCGGGTGTTCTGCAGTTGTTATTATGTTATGTCCTCACCCCGCTTTGCTTTAAATAATATTGAAGAAAAATCTGTGTTAAATTAAACAGAGGAAGAAAAACATAAACATGTTGGAGATAGTAAAACTTGAATAGTTATTAAATGCATTATTATTATTATAAGTTGGATTCTCTTTGTTGTATTGTTAACCTAAATTATTTTAAAATAAATTCACATTATTCGTTTGCTCAATATAATTCTTTCTTTTGTATAATTAGAATTTAGAAAAAAGAATAAATGCTTATTAGAAGATAAAATCTATTGTTTGTAACTATTCCATAGTAACACATTTATATAGAGTTCTATACTGATATTTATTTAATTAAATGTGCTTACAGTATTAAAATTAAATCATCAAAATGCTAACAAAACGTAATTTAAAAATTCTATATTAAAAATTTTGTAAGATCGTAAATCATTCTTAGTTTTAATGCGGATAAATTCCATTTCTGAGGTAACTTAATTACATTTTTTGTATTTTGTTTTTCAAGTTAATGAAAAAGTCTTACTGAAAGTAAATAAATAAAGATTTTAAATTTCCTTTTGTTTAATTTTGTCAATATTAATATCAGCAACGTTAATAAATTCAAGTAAATTGGTTTGGATTCGTGGGATAAGGCAACCAACACACGGGCGGTCTGCCAAGGAAGGGAGTGCCTTGAGGATCTACAGGAAACTAGAAACCCCTATTTAGATTAGGCACGTGAAAAATCCGCGTGATCAGCCCGTTGGTTAGGCGCGAACTCGCGACCAGCTACCACTGTTCAGTAGTGTTATTCACTCACCAATTGGTGGGTCCAGTTTAAATAAATGAAAGGGCAGTGGCGCGTTATCCTGTAGAAAAAAAGGGCAATTGCCAGGGTTCCCAACAATAGGGGGTCGAAAACCGAACTTTTATTTAAAAAAACTTTTTTCCGAAAAAACTCCCTGGAAGAAAAATGTCTGAACTCAACACTACGAGGTCCCTAATTCAAATCTGCCTGGGGCCCATGAAGCTATAACGCACCACTGTGAAAGGAATTCAATTTCTGTAATTTGCTTTTATTTTTAAAAATTTAACTTCAATATTTACTTCAGGAATTTGTGACGTTTATGGGACTTTTTGCTTTTTTTAATCATTACAGGTAATAAGTTTCCAGCATGATCCAATGCTACTTTCAAAGATCCATTTAATTCACAAGAAACAAGTTTACCATCCTATACTCACTTATTTACCTTGAAAACCATTGTAGATAATTTATACCACTGATCTAAATTTTTTAACAACAGTACACTAATAATTTCTATAGCAGACAGTATTAGTTCCAGACTCAAGCACAAGTACACACAGATGCTCAAATAAATCTTCAAGATACAGAATTCATTGTCATTTTATGCATTGTATTATTTGCAACATGACCGGGATGATGTACAGATAATCATCATATTTCTGATATTTGAAGTAAAGTAATATAATGAAATCATGCTTGAACCTATAAAAAATTTTCAACACAAGAATTATTATTATTATTCTGATTTTTAATTTGACTTATCACAGATATATGAAGTGATTAGAACTCTAAATGTATTTACTTCAATGGAAACATGTATTGTAAAAACATTCTGTAGTAATATATGTTGGCATTGACTATCTATGACACTACCAGGTACACCTTTGAAGTTCCCTTTATGAAGAATTGGTTGAACTGAACATACCAGGAATGAAATGAAGATTGTGTTGAAAAAAATATATGTATATATTTCCTATAGTGACCAAACTGGCCCTTCTAGACCTTCATTGCAGCTCAGCTCCCGTACACATTATTTCTTTTTTATGAACTTGGTACACATAAACTCACAACATATCTTTCAACAGGCAACTATATGTTTACCTTACATTCAGAAAGTTGAGGGGATTAGGTGATTGTTTACCTGATTGTATTTTATAACTATATAATACCAGTAAAATAACAGTGATAATTATAATATTTTAATTATGCATAATATGAATAGATGACAAGGCTCTCCCTTAGGCATCCCAACAGAGGATGCAGCTCTTGTATATTTCTGATAGGCATTGTATAGCTCCTATCAAGACAAGATTTGACCACCACATAATATATAATCATATAATAAACTTATACAAAAAAAACTATTTTAAAAAGCAACTGTTTTAAAAATAATTTAAATTTTAAATAAAATAAATAATGAATATGAATATTGTTAGAGATTATAAACAATGACTCAATAAACCTGATTTTGATTAAAGACAGATCATCTTCAGATTATGATTAGGCTAAGTTAATAATTATCAACAACATGAAAACTTTAGAGATTATATCTAAAATGTATTTGTAGATTTTTATTTAAAAAAGAAAGACTAGACAAAATTGATGCTTTTTTTTTATATAAAGTGCAGTAATTTATCTATTTTATTTGCACAATAGAACATTGTCAGATTACATCTTGTCGTAAAAGCAACCAACTTAACGAGCCACTATACGCAGAGTAAATGGCATCTTTTAATAACTGCATTAAATTAGCAGTACTTACATATCACAATTATTAATAGGAATACAATTATATGAAGAAATAATATATCAAGATTTGATAAGTTCAATCTAAAATATAAATCAAATATTTAATATGAATAACAATATTAGTTGCCAATACAAATAACTATTTAAAATATACAGTAGCTTAAACTGAAAACTTGATTATCATCATCAGCTATTTGTAATTTTTTGAAATTTCAAATTAAGAATCTTGTGCATCATCTAGAATAGAAAAGAAATCAAAATTATTCACTATTTATTCCATTACGCTTCTTTTTTTTTGTTTGAAAAATTAACATCAGATTTGAAATAGTCAAAAATATTTATTCATTTTATCTCAAACAATTTTTTTTAGATCTTTTCATTATAGCATTCCAAACAAAGATAGGTCTATATAGAAACTACTGACAATTTTTTTTTATGCAAGTTTAAATATCTAATGGATAGATATAAAGCATTAGGAGTAGTGGAGTATTTATTTGTTAGAGAATGACTTCAGAAATTTAAATATTAGTACATCGAAGATTATAATTAATAAAATTAATCATCATANCCAAAAAAAATATACGTATTTTGGAAATGTTGAGTCGGATTAGTCTAGAATCAATTAATTTTATGGAAGAAAACCTTTCAAACAGCCATAGTCCATAAACTTCACACGTGTCGAACTGTGATTGGCTGTGATTCCAACAAAATTGATTCATAAAGAACGGAACGTATCTACCGTCTTATAGGGGAATTGACTGTATATAAAAAAAAAACATTAAAAAATATATGTACATTTATTCTGTATTTATATTTGTTACTAGATTTATATTATTATTCTATTATTTAGAAATGAATAATAAAAACAAAATATTTATAAAGAAAATAATGAGCACAATAAAAATTAGTACAACTAAAATATTAAATCCAAATAAAGACAGAAGTTCTTAATTTGTAATACAGCAGTTTTGACTACTGGCCATAAAAGAAATATTACATTTAACTGTGCTTTTTTTTTATTATTAAAAGTTTAAGAAGTCAAAATAATGTAAAAAATGTCATAAAAAAACTAATTTAAAAAGTATACTTACTGACAACAGGAAGAAGAATACCAAACAGGAAAACAATAACAGATCCAAGCATATAAACAATGAAATAACCTCCTAAAAAATATAATTCATAAATTACAAATACTATATATAAAATTTAAAAGTATCATAATAAATGTCCAATTATGATAATATTTTAATTATAATTAATATCTTTTCATACTTTAAGATTACAAGAACTCGAAAACACTTTTAACTTCAGTAAAACTTTAAAAAAATTGTATTGTGCCTTTTTAATACAAATCTTCTATTATTCAAAAAAATTTAAGACCTACATAATATAATTTTTTCCAAATAGTAAATAAAGTTTATAGTTAAAAGTAGGTTAGAAAAGTTCCTCTGCAATATGTTTAACTATGAATAAGTCATCACAACAAGTATTAATAAGTCATCATTGATCACAGCTCTTTGAAGATTCAGTTCTATAGTGTAAAACATACAAAATAATGTGTCTTAATCTTTGTGCCGTTATGTTAATAAAGAAAAAACTGTTTTAGAAGCATTTCACTGCAAAGTTCAATGAAGATAAAATAAGGAATGTGTATCTTTCATTAATGAAAAATTAAGACTATACAAAATAAATTTTGAATCCTTTTTGCCTATTATCATCCTTTTATTTCATCTTTTTATTTGTGGAAGTGTTGCTTCATGTTGCCGGCTGTTTTGTGGTTCCTGGAATGGAATAAAAGGATGATAATACACAAAAAGGACTCAAAGTTTATTTTGTATAGTCTTAATTTTTCATTAATGAAATTAGTCAAAATAATCCTGAGCTTCTATGTACAAATGTGTATCTTGAATAAGATGTTGAATAGCATATTTTGTCCCTCTCAGATTTTTCCTCTGAAGATGTTTATGAAGACAAACATAAAGCAATCAAACACTTAAAAATTGCAATATCCAATTACATCACATTAATTACATATGAGACTTTGATACAAGTCTTTGAAAACAGAATTAAATGTTCATATCAGCAAAACAGCAGAAAATATTCTCAAACTCTTTCATAGTTTTAATTATATTCATAAATATGTTTATTTTTAAATAAAATAAATTTCTTTCATCTCATTTCTAATAATGACTCATAAGAAGATAACTGTTGTGAAGAAACTTTTCTAACATTATCATAGTTACTACAAAGATCAAACAAACAACCAAATTCCTTTATTGGGTTATTAAGGCTAAATAATTACTAAAATAATTTGGCAGGAGGTGGGCAGTTAGTCTTCCATCTCCATATAATTAGTAATGCAACTGCACAGTAAGCAGAATTGTGAATTCAAGTCCCTCTTGGGACCAATCTTCCAGTATATTCTAAAATTAAATTAAATTAATCTATTTATAATTAAATTTATAACAAACAGCATCCTGACTACCTTCCTCCTGCCAAATTACTTAGTAAATTATTTAATAGCCTGATAAAGGAATCCAGCTGTTCATTTCATACTATCATCATTGTGGAATATCCCATAATAATCATTTGCTCAGAAATATATTTTAATTCTCTATCAAACATGTATAGCAAAAGAACATTAATAAGCCTACCTAAAAATTCAGCCAACTACCTGTATACAAATGATGCATAAATTGTAGAAATTTGCTTATGTAATGGCACAATGAAAACAGAAAATTACTCAGTAGAACCTTTAGCAATACTTAAATCTTGTAAATAAATTTGCTTATTTACTTTATTTTCAACTTTTGATATGTTGAGTACAGTAATTCATTACTCTAAGTATCAACAAAGCTGGCTTTTTAACTTAAAAGGACAATATAAAAATACAATTTAGAGAGAAAATATATTTATATGTTAAAACAAGATTTAAAATTCTAAAAAAACTGAATTTTAATATTTATTATTAAATAAAATTATGTTTCATAGATAAGTTTACAATAAATAACAAACATTTTCAATTAATTCAATAAATTAAATACCTGAAAAGATTATTCCAACACTGATAAGAGGATGATCACGCTTGAAACGAGTTGCAGTTCTTTTTGTATTTGTAATATAGTAGAAAAGACCAAATGTTGCCAATATTGCCAACATGCCACAGAGCATTTTTACTGGATGTATCAAACTAAAAAAATTTTAAACAAACAAAAATAAGAAACTGAGATATAAAAGTATTGCGATTAATATAAATATAAAAAAATAATACCAAGAATATAAGAATTTATTTATAATGTAAAATAAAAATATATTTACATAAACAGCTACTGCATTAAATTTACAATATTAGAAGAAAAAATTTCTATTTTGATTTCTACAGGATGGTTGGAAAGTAACTAAGAATTGAGAAATCACTATAATTTTTGTAATAATAATGCAATCATAATAAAATGTGTGTGTGTTTATGTGTTTATGTACATAAATCAATAGAATTTTATAATTCCCATATTGGTAGTGTGAGCAGTAACTGAGAGGCTGCGCACAGTAATAAAAAAAAATGGCTAATTGTGATTGCTTCTCTGTTCAGAAGCAAGCACAGATTGATGCACATTACAAGATATGGAAAGGTTGCTATGCAGCAAAAGTAGTGAATGGTGAAGGGACATGTCACAATCCATCTGAAAACAATTGATAATTGTCATTTGAAGATAAAATGATCACAGGGTTGGTTGCAAATGCACAGAGAAGTGGGCCATCCATCCATATCATGATCTGAGGAAAATGTCATTAATGGATGACATCAATGCTTACATCAAATTTTAAGGTGTGTATCCATATTTCCATTTAATAAGGTACAGTACATGTCAAATAATTTATCATCATCTTTGCATTAGAAATATAGAAATTTTAGCAATTTCTCAAAGCCTAGTTACTTTCCATCCAACCTGTATTAAATTTGTTTTATCCATCATATTAAAAAAAATAAATAAAAACCTGATGAATGAAAACTTCAACAAAATATTTTCTCTCAAAAGAAATAGTTTTTACAAATACTTTATGAAGGAAGATAACAACAAAAGTTTAAGTATCTGAGTCTAAATAAAATCAGAAATAATATAAGCAGATGAAATCTCTTCTTCAGATTATAATATATACAGTAATACCTCAACTTACGCAAACCCGGAGTTACGCGATTTTCAAATCTCGTCGATTCATCTTTTGTTTGAGCGCCAAGAAACTCTCGATTACTCAATCCCCCCACACTATTGTTCGGCTTACATGTTCAGACGTGTCGCGCAGAATTGACACATAGCCACAATTTATTTTGTGTTATTTATTTCTGTGTTTGTTATATCTACGGAGACTTGAGAGACTCTATGTGGTGGTTTCTTCTAACCGTGAACAAATCAAAAGAAGAGATAAGATTAACGAGAACATTTATTAGCTTACATACATCCGACTTGGATTTTATATAAATTGTGAAATTATACCCCGACTTACACGAATTCAACTTACGCAGTTATCGCTCGGTCCCACCTATCGCACAAGTTCGGGGTATCACTGTATTATCATCTGAAAGATATATATTACAAAGAGAAAATTCTAATTATGACTTAGATATGGCAATTATTATTGATATCATCCTATATAATAATCCTATAAGATAATTATACATTTCACAGAGAAAATATGTTGTTGAGTGTTGCAACTTTTTTATATTTTTAATATTTTTGAGAAATCAGACATTTTTATACAAATTTGATTAATTTATTTATGAATTATTATTTTCTTCTAAAAAATCAAATAATAATATAAAATGTAGAATACATTACCTCTGTATTAAACAATAACTAATATTATATATTATAGATAAGCAGTGTTTTTCAACCTTTTTCTCATTGCAGTAATTGTATGTGACTATGAATTATGCTTACTTATTATGCTTACATATGCTTACCTAGAGTTACTGGTCATACTTTGTTACATACAATAACTCTAGACTATTTAAATGTCATTGTAATTAACTGTCAGCAATATTTTTACCAAAAGAAACATGCCATAGTATGCGCAGAGAAGCTTGTAAACAAATCATCAAAAACAAAGTGTACACCTAACCTTCTTTTTGCATGATGGATATGTTCTAAAGAATGCTGCATAAAACATAAATCACGTAAAAAAGTACAGATCACGCATTCCGTAGAAAATGCTTGATAGGATCCAGAACTTCAATGGAATGAAAAAAATAAGCAATTTACAAAAGAAACACAAGCTTTTTTATTCTATCATCATTTATTGTTAACATTGTTTGTAGGTAAATACAGTAAATACAAGATAGCATAAAAAACATAAAATTAACATATTGCATTTTCTGACGTACGATACCTGTACATCAAAAATTTAAGCACAGTACAGTACTGTACATAACTGTACTGAGCTTAAAAGAGATAAATGAACTCTTGATTTTAACAAAAAGTTAAATTTAAAAATTTTCAAAAAACCTGTTTTTTCCTGTGTAAAAAAATTGTTTATGCAAAAAGTGGATTAGTTTTCTTTTGTCAACCACATTATTTGAAAATTGTGTAAAAAGAGGGCTAGATGTATAGTGTACTGGTTATACGATGCATCATTTCAGGTTCACAATACTGCCAAACATATTAATTGCACAAAATTCTTGTGGCCGAATCACTTTCAACAAATGTAGGTCCAGCTGCATAACTAACCATTATGTTGTAAGGATTGAACATGCTATTTTTAATATTCAACATACAGATGTTAGCAGGAATACAAAATATTACCAGTTTTTTTTTTTTTGTTGTTACTTTTAACTTTATTTAATTAAAATTAAAAACTACTATAATTGCACGGATTTGTTTATTTGCAATCAGTATAGTATTATAGTAAGGTAGAGTTTAAATTACAGTAGCTACAATAGTTAGTGCAAATATGTTCAGATTTTGATACAGACGAACCATTAGTTATTTCACTGGTATATAACTATCTCTATTTTTATGCAATTTTGAAATAACATGGTTGACGAAAGAAAACTAATCCTCTTTTTATGTAAATGATTTTTTTTAAATGAGAAAAAAACAGTTTTAGTTGTTAATAACAGCTACTGCTGTCCAGTTATAGACTAGGTGAGACAAACATCCATGCAATTTTTGCAGAAATTCTAGAGTGTATGTAATTATTCAATAAGAACAGTTTATATAATTCAGGAAAGAGTTCAACCTATTCTAACTTATGAACAAGGCAATCTGCCAGACTTACAGCATATATGCGATAAGCCAAAGCCACACCACTATCATTTTGCAGCTCTACCAAAAACTTGTTAAAACAGGAATGGTACAAGATGCAAAGAAATCAGGGCATCCTCAAGAAGTTACTAGTAATGCATTGGTAGCTGCTATGCTGGCTTCAGCACTAAACAAACCCCAGCAGTTGCTCCATAAAATGGGAACTGCTATTGTAATTTCTCTATCATCAGTTTATTGAATATTAGACACACAAGTTTCATCCTTACATATCAGTTATTGTACAACTAGATGCAGATAATTTTGACTGCACACTGAATTTTGTGAAAGTTTCATAAATCTGTTACAGGGCAATCCTAGATTACTTCATCATTAATGCTTTTCTGAAATTTCTGTTGACTGGTTGAGCCGACAAACATAATTGCTGGTATGGGACATAACAAATCCCTATGCTGCTCACATAAGACAAACTTAAGATAGAAAAAAATCTAGCAACAAGTTGCTTAACTTTCCTGGCAACATTTAAAACAGCATGTGTGGCACCATGTGTTATATTTTATTTAAAAAAACTATATTTTTAATAATTATACTCTCTTCAAAAGTGAAATCGCAACACCACAAAGGAATGCATGTAGCCACATGCACATTCCAAGACCAGTATAGTTGAGACATATGCAAATGATTAAAAGAATAGACAAAAGATATGCAACAGACACCTGTTTATTCAGTAGCAAATATGGCCCCCCACAGGTAGCTAATATAAAAAGTTGCTATATGGTAAGACATATCATTGAGATTTCATCCATAAGCGGTTGTCTATAAATACCATCCACACTGGAAGGGAGGGAGGGAATTAAGACAAGTTGGACAAGGGGGAGGGGTTGAGCTCCAGTGGATGTCCTCTCCCTCCTTGTCTGACTTGTCTTAACCATTACATTAAATTTTACATAACATTACAAAACATTAAATTTTATACAGTTTATGCATTTTATTATATTTCAAAATTTCTTGTATGTTTCACTTCTGCTTATCTATCTATCTACCCACCCTGTCATTCATAAAGAGATAAAGATTTTAATAGTGACTGAGTTTTGTCAGACATCCAAAAATGGGAGAGGTCACAAAAACTTGGACAAACTGGAATGAGAAGGAGGGGGAGTAAAAATTTCAAGAAAAATGCAGATGTAATTTTGTGGACAACCCCTAAACAATACCCAATGCCATTGAGTGGTCCAGTTGCAATGATAAGGACACTATACATACATATATAAATCATCAATTCAAAATTTGATTTATATATTAAATGAACAGCATATCAAATTACAGCTACAATGAAAAAGGCTTATCACATCAAGATGAGAAGGAACTAGACTCAAATTATTCAAACTATAACTTACTCACATGTTATAACATTGAACAAAATAATGCAAGGAAATTTTGCAGAATTATCTTGCCTTTCATGACCATCACCTCTTTTCTTTAGTGGCCATTAAATTAAACACTAATTGCCTGTTCTGACTAGTAACCTTTACAAACTTGTAAGGATGCAGTAGGGCTAACAGTATACCTTGTATTAACTTTATATAATTATGCCCCTGCTTTTTCTACAAGCTTCTCTTCACAAACTCCTATGTTACATATTTCTTTTGAGAAACATTGTAGATTTATAACTAAATATAAAATAATACAAACAACATAATATAAAAATAACAAATGTAAAAGAAATATTTTTAATTGGTTGGAGGAAATATTCAGTTACTTGATTAACCAGCTACATTTTCTTGAAAAAAATGTAGCTTATACCTTGCTTTCTTAGTCTTTTATCATCATTTTCAAGAATCTTCCAAAGTTAATACCATTTCAGAGAAATCTGTATGTTGAAAACAGTTTAAATATGTAGGGAAATCTACATATTTAATCATTTTTTTATCTTATGTATTGAAACTATTTATT